CCCCGTTCCACCAGTTCGACTTAAGGCTAGGCGTCCAGTGCTTACCGTTCCTGTTGCGCAGGTTGCTCCGGCCCCTCAGTGCCGGCAGCCTGCAGCAATTGTTCCACCTGTTCGTCTAGTGGCCAGGCAACCTGCGCCTGTCGCTCCTGTTGTACAGGTTGCTCCGGCCCCTTAGCGTTGGAAATTTGCTGCTGTTGTTACTCCCGCTGTTCTTCCGGATGTACCTCGCATTCGGGTCTCCCCTACCACTTCCACTATGAAAAGGGGTGCCCAGACCGAGGTGCCTTCGCCCTCTTCTGGCTGAGTTTCTATTTTTGCTCGGCTTTCTCATATTGAGACTGTCAGGCAGACCCCGGCACTTCCAGTAGTCCCTGTTCCCCCTGCCACTTAGATGGTGGGTTCAGATGTCCCTTCCACCTCCACCTCCGGCCTTAGGAGAAGTGGCTGGATGAATAGGAATAGGAGGTTACATTTAGCTACGTTCGAGGCAGAGATACAATAGATGGCTGAGGCGATAGCTCACCAGAAGCTTGTTCAGAGGACGGTGGCTCCTAGACATCGGAGATCATAACCAATTCCAGTTGTGCCTACTCAAGAGGTTATTGTAGCTCCTATGATAGAGGCATTCGAGGAAGGATGCTTCTCCACGCTGACATATAGTGTGGATGAGAAGGACATTGCCCGCATTAAGGAGGCCCCTCCTGTTGCCACTACGTTACCCCGGGCTAGGGTCCCTAGGGACGCTGGTGTTCGATCCCTCACTCAAAGGATTCGACACATCGTTCGCCTATTTCTTGGTAGGGGACTTGTCAGTCGGGAGAAGATACTCTGACAGATTTCTCAGGCGACTTTCCAATTATAAAGGCAGACTGTGAGGGGACTTTATAGTTGGTAGAGGGGGCAGACACCTCAGCCGCCTGCAGTTCCAATAATTAGGCTGCCGGTAGTTGCTCATATGATAGGACAACACCCACATTGTTGAGGATGGAGACAGCAGCAGGAGCCTGCCCGGCCTCAGATGAGTTCAACAGTGGTATCCCCAGAGCAGCCAATTGTCAGTACAGAGCCCCACCATAGGAGGTGGGTTTAGAGGCGTCAACAGGTAGACACCCCTGTCCACCCAGTTCCGGCAGTTGAGACAGAATAGTTGTCAGAGGCAGAGCAGCCAGATGAGGTAGATGATGGTTCAGTACCTACCCCCGTCAGATCGTTAATACGGATTGAGATAGAGTTAGCCCCTAGCACTTATAGGATCACCTCTCCTATGAGTCCGTACATAGAGGTGATGCGGCGATCCT